GACAATAACTTGCCAACCACTGCTCCATTGTTAGGCATCTCAGGAACAAGATATTCTTCAAATTTTTTAACATTTCTATTGAAGTTTAAGAAAAATATTAAAATACAACATTTCTTTTCTACCAATCATTAGCTGATTTTCATGCTACATTGACAATCATTTTTAAATGGGATTCTCTGTAAAACAATCTTTTTTTTCTTTATTTTTAAATAATATAGTGTAAACAGTAATTTAATATTTCATTTATTTAAAATCTTAATCCCTGGGAAAAGTAAATATCATTTTGAACATTTACAGAAATGTATTGAAAATTTAAATTATTAGTAGGCATGAACAACACCTATTGAACATGTAGATCGACAGCAGGAAAGTTCTCAAGAGAATAGAAATTAGGATGAGACATATTTAAATAAAAAAAAGAGACAGTTGAAATGTCTGGGACACATGAAAAGTCTTGGAAATTTAGCATTCACAAGATTTATTGAAAGAAGGTTTGATTGGTTTATTTTTTATGGCTTATTTAAAGCCAGAAAATATTTTTAGATTGTAAGAATTTTGGAGATAATGATTTACTAATAAAAGTCCTACTAATTAACTCATAGCTTGGGAGAGTGGAGTCATACCTTTTCTAAGATTATTTACATGTAAGTGAATATAACAAACCTGTAATTTGAACATGGCTCTCCGATTTCCAATTCTGAGCTGTTATTCATTACACCACCTGCACGCCCAAGCATACAGCACACGGTATTCCCTGGTGGTCACCTATCTAGGTACTGAACAGGCTTAATTTTGGTGATCATATGAGAACCGATATTTCAATCTGATATGGCTGTAAGCTGACTGAAAGGAGGAGCAGCAGAGGGAAAGAAATGAATAATTGATCTAAAGAGTTTAGTGAATAGATGACAGAATAGAGGCAAAGAAGAATGGTAAAGAGTCTAATGTTGCTTAGGACTATTAAAGTTAATTTGTAGAGAACCAATGTTCTGAAGAGAGACTGTGCATAAAAGACGTAGATCTGTACTAGTTTCTGATATAACCATTTACCACCAAAAGTGTTTGAGTCTTGCTAGAAGACATCATTTGAGTCTTGCTAGAAGTCATCATTTGAGTTTGTTAAACCTATAAAGATAAGTTTGCTTGTCTCAAGTTATATAAATATAAAATATCACACAGTGAGTGCTGGTGGTAATAAAACAGTGTTTAATATAAGATAACAAAGCTAAATTTGTATATGAATAATAAATATACATTTCTTCCTCACTGTTTTGTACAAATTTGATTTTCATGTGCATTTCAATCCATGCCTGAAGATTGTCATGTGCATGAAACTTATATATATATATATATATATATATATATGCACATGGCTGAGTGGTTAGAACATTTCCTTTCTAACCATGACACCTGGGTTCAAATCTCACAACGGCTAATTTGTCAGTAAGTAGACTTCCTGATGTTATCGGTCTGGAGGGGGGCGATCACAGCATGTGTCATCTTTGGAAAGTAGATGGAACCCTTGAGGTCGTCGATAACTGTGCTAGCACAAAGTCACAAGTCATCATGGCTGAGGGTTTGAGTGTGCTGGCCTTGTTCAGATTGTTGATCACACTAGATAACCACACTAGATAACACTCTCTCCCAAAAACCAACTGTCTGCTCAGCATAGTTGCAGTATAAATCACAGGTTGGCTCAGTGGGTGTTGAACAAACACAAAATGTGCCTGAGCAAGCGTCTTCAATAGGGATAAGCTAGCTGCCCTAACAGACTGGTATCCTCGAATACGAGTGGCCAGCTATTATTATAAGTATAATGTATGTGTCTGTAAAAGAACAAAATGAATAAAAAAGACGAGGAAAAACTATTCTTAGCTAACGAGTTTCCTCTTCTGAGGGACTTTTTTTTTTTGGTTCCCCCTTTTGCTAAAAATAATTTTTCCTCTTGTATTTTATATATTATATATATATATATATATATATATATATATATATATATTTCGGAAGTAAGTATTCATCCAAATAAGTTTGATTAAAAAGGGTCATCACATTCTGTTTAATTTTTTTTTTTATTGTATTTTTACAATTTTAGAATAAGGTATTGTGATCCAAATTGTGGGTAAACTGTCCAAAATTCATCCTGGTCTTTAGAAAGTTTTGTTGTCACCTTGCTTCCAATAACCATTGCACATGACTTCACCGTAGACTGTTTCACACTTTCTACTTTCCAAAAGAATACCAGGATGTAGGCAAAGAAATGGTGTTTCCCCACACAGACCCCATATTGGTTCTTGAAAATGTCTGAGATGGTCAAAAGTACTTGAACAAAGCAAGAGCATAACATGAACTTCAGACAATTTATCCACAATTTTGATCACAATGTGCAACACCTTATTTGAAAATTGGAAAAATACAATAAAAAAAAATTACAAACTTTGTCAGTTCTTTTTAATCAAACTTGTTTAGTAATATGTTATTTTTTTTTTTTTTTTTTTTTTTTAGACTATTGAAGAATAGTGAAAAGTTCTTGACTCATTGAACTTCTCAAACTCCAACGAAGTGACTAAATATTTTTTTTTATTCTAGTTCAAGCCGAGAACTTTTCAACACCATCTTGTAAAAATGTTGGTTTGAATTCTAAACTGCTAGCATCAAACTCTCAAATGTGATCTACTTAAAGAAATTAGAACCAAACAACCGACATCTTTACTTTCATCTGTGATTAACATTTGCAACCCAATCATGAGAACCTTGCCATAGAGTAATGGTTAATGAGTGAGAGTATCAGACCATTACTACTGTAGATCATGAATTTCAATATTGAGTATTTCAATGTTCAGTTTATCTTTTGCTTCTTACACACACACACACACACACACATATGGGAGGAGGGAATTAATTGCTTGATCTCCTTTCCAAAATATAATTAAACAGATTTATTTCTTTGAAGATCTTTTTAGTATACACTGTTTTTTTTTTCTGATGACTAAAAATAGCTAATACATATAGAAATGTATGGAAAAGATATGTTAAGTAAGAAAATTATACAATAAATGCTTTTATAAAGTGAGAAAAAAACACTTGAAATAGTAATGAAAAATTTCCACTTAATACAAGGGAGGTAATCAGTATCCTTTGAGTGACTACAAGAAGCAGCATTTTTTCACTTGAGCTCTCTGGGGAGGAAGTGTGGTTTGTAAACAGTGACTATTACGGCTAATAATGCATGACTCTTCGGTAAATCGAATCAAGTTCTCTGTCATTGAGTGTTTATTTAAAAATAAATACACTTAAATTCACCTTCATCCCTGCTGTGTGCCAATGGCTTAGTGGTAGAATCCCCAACTGACGCCAATTCAGTCAGGTTTCGATCCTAGCTAGAGGCAATCGGACATCTAGCCACACTGATGAGCTATGATACAGCGAAACAGTCTGTGGATGACTCTATATATATATATATATATATATATATAATTTCTGAGTTTAAATTTAAATTTATTCTAAACTAATCTTAATTCCTGTTTTCAATTTTATCAAAGTTAATCTGGCATCTTCTGCATGATTGTTGTGAATTGGAAAAAGTTTTATAATAAATAGTATACCTTTTTACTTTAAAATTTATCTTCAATTAACAATTATTTTGAATGATTTACTAGTATTTAATAGAATTCAAGTTCTTATGAAATGCTTTTTTGACGTATTTGTTGCTTAGTGCCGATTAGCGTGATAAGTTCATTGTCTTTGTTGGTGGGGAAGTTGTATAGAAAGATACACTCACCACAATAGATCAACATCTCTATGAAAATTTTTCGTTTATTAGCTTCTTGAATATTATTTATTGTTTATTAGCTTCTTTATTGCAAAACCTCTATCCTGAAATTTGGTCAAAGTTTTAGATAAACTGACTAAACTATATTTCCAGCAACCAATTTTTTTGTGAATGTAGAAAAAAATACTTTATTATTTTTGAATTGAACTTTTAGCTAAAGCAAAACTGCGATGGTTATTTTAATATCAATTGTTAATGATGATTGGTTTATTTTTTAATTCAATGTCATTGATCTTAAATTTTAAAGTTGCATATTTGTTTATGCATTCATTAAAAATGAGAAAATCAACAAAAATAGCATGTTAAGGGAACAGTACATTATTATTATATTTTTTTTTTTTTTAATAAGCAATTTAGGATTTTGATCAATACTCGGTTGTTTAATTTTTTTGAAAGATTTAGTACTAAAGTTGCTTAATTAGTTATACTAGTGTCTAATCAATAGAAAAGGACATTTCAGTGTAACTAAATTAGTAGAATTGATAGAATTCTGGAATACAGTATAAAATAATGTATTTAATAACTCATTGTTTAATTTTATATTTTATTTGCTTAAGTCATACTGACTGACATTAGTGAAATTACTTAAGATTTAGTCAAATTTGACAACAGTTGCTTGTAAATGAGAGCTTGTTTACTAGGATTAAGAGGAAGGTTTGAATGTTTTTTATTCCAGGACTCTCCTTTTGTATATTCTTTTTGAGAAAAATATTTAGTTTTGATGAATTTTATACAATTATTTGCATGATATATAATTTATTTTATACAGTAACTTTTTTCTTTTTTTTTTTTTTTTTCCATAGAAACTATTATAATACTTAACAAAAATCCAAGAAGAAATAGTATAAAAAGTCTGTTTGTATTAAATATATGAGAAAGATTAATAGAAAATTGCCATAACTTTAAAAGTTACATTCATTAAATTTTCAATAAGTATTCTTGAAAAATAACAGCAAAAATGTGTTGCTGCGATATTCAATGAATTCTTTTTGAGCTGCCCTCATCTTTTTTTGCTTTCCTTTTCTTAATATTTTGGCTTCTTCATTTTATTTGATGAGATTGCTGAAACAAACAACCAAGATGAGGATAGTCATCTTGGCTCCCTCTCTTCTCTCTCTTAGATTTTGATTTTTTTTTTTTTTTTTTTTTTTATATGAATTTTTGATATTAGGAGGGAAATCATGGTGCTGATGCAAGACCTACCTACATTGGGCCCACAATCCACACGTGAGGCTGATGACTGGACTGGACAAACAGAAAGCCATAGAAGAAAAGAATTCCGAAGAGAGAATAAGGGTGTGGTGGTGGGGGAAATCTTCCTATCCTGTGTGTTACCCCTCTCTCTTTCGTTTCTCTACACTGCTACTATTTATGAGACAAGGTTGTTCACTGCAAATAGCCCACCCAGAAATTTCCTATGTACCCACTAAAAGGGAAGGGAGGAGGAGAGAGACCTCAAATGTCCCACTCCAATAACTCAATCAACCCCCAAGCCCTGATTCCAAAAAAAAAAAAAAAAAAAAAAAGGTATCTTAAATAACAGGTCTGGACAAAACCCCACCAGTAAATACACTCACTTCTCAATGGATGGCTTCTTTTCCTCCATCCTACACATCTGTTCAAACTGTATTAACAAATAAATGAATTTTAATGCCCTGTTTAGTTGAAGATATTGAGGTACTGAGTATTTTATCAGCACCTCAATCATTCCTCCATCCCTGCCACTTTTATGGTAAGAAAGGAAATGGATTTTTTTTTTGCTTTTTCTCTTTTACCTCATCCTTCCCCTTCCAATTCTCTTATTCGTTTTTTTCCTCTCTTTCTCTTCTTCTCCTCCTCCTCCTCTCCCTTTGATCTTCTCTTTCTCCACTCTTTTGTTTTCTTTCTTACCCACCAATGCCAGTCCTTGTCACTTCACAGATTAATACTAGCAGTGACAGTTCAGCTTTTTTGATTTAATAAAAACAAAAAATATTGGGATGGGATTTTTTTTGTTTTTTGTTTTCTGTTAATTTTCTTCAGTGAATGATAAGAATAAAATATTTGAAAGTTTTTTTTTTTTTTCCTGCTCCATTGGCTTTTCTCTCATTTTTTTTTTTTTTTTTTTTTTTTTTTTTAACCCCAGGCTCAATTTTGCATAGTACATAAGTCAGATAATGCCTGAGTAGTGATATAAGTTATGATAAATGATATGAAATATCCCAACAAAGTCTGTAAGATGTTATTCATGAAAATCAGTTGGATGTTTAATTTATTTTCTTAACATTTTGCTTTCTATAAGCAATTTCAAAATAGCTGAAAATAAAATCTAAGAAAAATGTTGCTTTGGCAACACTGCTACATAAAAATGCTTTGATTAATTGGAAAGATTTTAACAGTTAAAATTTAAAAATCAGTATCATGAACAAATCAATGAAATTTGTACATAGGAAATATGTAAAAATAAAATTTAAATGTAATTATGCAATCCATGATATCATGAGTAGGATTCATTAAAGAAATGTCAGAATTTTGAATCATTCTAATGATTGCAGCATATATGGGGATGCAATAAATGCTGACAGTAGAGAAAAAGAAAACGATCTCAGTTAATGCTAACTGCAATACAGTCCTCTCTCTCTCTCTCTTTATATATATATATATATATATATATATATATATATATCATTTCTGCTTTCTTATCACTGCCCACTGTCTTTATCACTACTCCACCTCTCTCCAATTTAACTATAGTCATTTTTCTGGCACTAATGCGGAGGGGGAATGCCAGATTTTGTACTTTAATAAAAAAAAAAAAAAAATTGATTTTCCTCTCCTTTCATCTTTTAGTAACATGTATTCAACTTTTACACATTTGCTATAAATGTTACAGATTTTTCGGGGGTGGGGGGATTAAAAAATTTTATTACTTTTAAAACCAGCATTAAATGGGAGGAGAGAAAAACAGTTATCACAAATGGTAATTTGAAAAAGAGAAGGGAGTGGGTGGGAAACAGCTGTCTGTTTTTGTTCCTCTCTCTTTAGAGATCAATAAAGGAAGCTAAAACAAATGTGCGATTTGACTAAAAGCAGTGAAATATTCTAAATTAGGATAACACACACACACGCACACATAACAAAATGATCACACTAAGAGCCATTCCTGTTTACACAAAGAAGGCTGCAGAGATTTAAATATGATCCCTAGAACTTTCAAATCGAAATACAAATGAGATTGTTTTTTAGAAATGTTATATTTAGTGGGCACACCTGTTTGAATAAATATCCCTTTCTTTTTTTTCTTATTTTAAACTGAAATTAATATTTACTAGCCAAGAGATTGAAAGCTTCAATAAAAAAAAATTTAAAAAAATGTCTCCTGAAAGGAATCTGTATTTTCTTCATCTGAGAAATTTCTTTCAAACCAAGCATATTTTACCATTGACCTACAAGAAGCCATTACAGCAAAAGCAAGATTCGGTTACTCTACTTAAATGTCTGTAGCTTCATGGTAAAGCATGTTTGTCTTGAAAGCAGTTTCATGGATTAAAAAAGAAAAATACAGGTTCAATTCAAGGTTGGGAGGTGTAATTTCTTTGGGATTTTTGATCCTGGTAGCTATTAATTTTACTGTTTAAAAACATGGGTGCCTACTCAAATGTGTACTATCCACTAAGTGTTTGTTGCAATAAATAATTTTGGATTAATAAATTCATTAATTTGCTTTATATATAATATATAAATTTTAAGTGTTTGATATTCTTTAATTAATAATAATTTTGCTCTGCCTTTGTCTTTTGACATAGAGCTCTAACTGGATCTATATCTCCTGGAAATTCCATATGGATTACCATATTGTATAAGTACTTATATATATATATATATATATATATACACACCTAGTGAGCCGGACAAACCTACCTAGGTTTCACCTAAACGGATCGTCAGGGAAAGCTTGGCTAACAAGGCAAAGGGAAACACATTTATAGGTAAAATCACGTGACAAAAAAAAAAAACCTCAGTGGAAAGTCATTAACGGGAAAAAATGTCTAATTTAGTAGCCATGATTTTTTATGTCTACATACATTGAGAATTTCAGTTTCACAAAATTTTTCTTTGCCTATTATGTCTATTTTGTATATATATATATATATATATATATATAATAACAACTCATGATTCAGAAAGGTAGATATAGGTAGGAGTGTGTCAATTAGTATTATTTGTTTTTCTAATTTGTAACACTATTTCAATAACATCTTGCCAGCAACTTGTAAGCTACAGATATTTATTCTGTTTCTTTGAATTAAAAAAAAAAATAGAAAAAATAGGTAAGGCATTCAAAACCATTTTGTGCGTAATAGAGTGCAATTTCTGAAGCCATTTGTTTTATTATAGATAGGGAATGAAATTTTGGTGCTTACTGCAATCATGGTCTGGTTTTATGAAGGTCTTTCAAACTTCACAGATGGTTGATAAAGCCTATACAGGGCAGTTCTGCTAGGAGCAGCAGGAAAAAATTTGGCAACTGAAGAAAACTCCAGTTTTTACAATATTCTTCTACTCTGGCTCTCCAGTTTACTCTGGAAAGAAAATTGAGAAGATATTATGCCAGTATTTCTTCCTGTCAGCAGTCTCAGATGGAAATTGATGCCGCATAAGTGCAGGGCACTTTTTTAGGGCATTTGTCTTTTTTCATGGTGGTATTCACTAAACAGTAGGATATTTGGTAGGTAACAGTCATCCGTCTTTGATATATGGCCTGCTCAGCACATATACCTTACAGCAATTTTATAAGGATAAAATATTTGAAAAATAGAATGACTTGGTAATTCTTTGCAAAATTTATTTATATAAATTTATACTGGGTCACATTAAAAAAGAAGTTTGTTTTAAATAAAATTTTTATTTTCAACACTAGCTTTTTTATTATTTAAATTATTTAAACACAGACTATCGTCCTCATCTTTGTTGTCATTATCATATTTCAGCTGCAGCAGTAGAAAAGAAGACTTGGTGAGTGCAGTCAAGCAGGAGCAGTGTCAGCAGCAGGTAGATTAGGTTTAAGGCTCCAAGTTCTACACTTGGCATTGTCTCATGAAACAATAGCCTAGTGGATTAAAGCATTGTCCCATGAATTTGGTGACATAGTAATTGGGAGTTCAATCCCTGGGCTGGGAAACAGGGCAAGCAATAACTGATCAGTACGAAAATAAGAACTAGATGAGATATCCCTTTACATGATCAGCAGAGGATTGAATAAAGGGTCCAGATTCTGAAGGTTGCACGAATCAATATGCACTTGAAGTTTGGAGTGCATAATGGATGAAATGTTGATAACAACAATAAAGATGAAGACAATAGTTCATGTAAATGATAACTCCACATCTTGGAAATAGCCTCACGGCACATTTTGGGTATAGAAAATTTTTTCTGTCCAAATTTTTTTGAACTATAAATTTACCCTTTTCTTCCACAGGCAATTTCATAATTCCATTCACCTCAAATTTTTTATCAGTCAAAACTACTGCTCTTTGCAGTCTTCCAGGGAATAGAAATCTATTTTATTATGACTTTCACTGCTGTATTGTTATAGTATTGTTACCTGGCTGTGCTGGCCCTGTTTTGGGAAAAATAGGAAATTGTCATTGACTGAATAAATGACTAAATATACTGATGGCATTTTCTCACAGGCAGGCACCACCATTTTGGTTTTAATCAGATACTCTGCAGTAAAGACTAAGCTTTTCTTTACTGCCTTCCATAGGAGTTCCTGTAGTTTCCTTTCCATATCTGTTATCAACACTGTGTTATCTGCATATTTTATATTCTTAAAGTTGTGGCCACTAATCATAAATCCTGGTAGGACTTTTAATTCTCTCAGGATTGCTTTACTGTAAGGGTCAAATAAATCTGGTGAGAAGACATATCTTTGTATTATGCTCCTTTCTATTTTGTGTATTGAATTCATTTTCTATGCTTATGCAAATGGATTGCTTTCAGCATAAGTTTTGGATTAATCTAATCTTTCCCAAATAAATCAAGCTTACCTGGAAGTTCAAACAGTTCTTTATGTAGTACTTTATCAAATGCTTTTACATTATCTATAAAACTTATCATTATTATCAATGAAAACAAAAAAAGAAACTATTATGAAAACAATTTCTTCATTTGTTAAAGAATTTGGAATGCGTAAAATTGTCACTTAACCTCTTCACCGTTTAGCCTCTTACGATTTTGATTTTGTCATATCACAGGAATGCTTTTTATTTTTTTATTTTTTTTTTATTTTTTTAAGCAAAATCTTTAAGTCATTAATCCGTCTCATCAGAATTCTTTTATCAAGAAATCTATATTCTTGGAATATTTAGCATTTGTTTCATTTAAATGTTTTTTTTTTTTTATCTCTACAAAGTTAACATGACTTAGTTTTTCTTTTTATTCATTTATCACAAAAACAGACAAAATCAGAATTGTTTCTACAAATCACAAATAAGATTTTATTTAAGGAAGGTACAGAGAAAAAAAAATATACAAAGTTTTAAGAAAACATCTGGTGGGAGGAAAGAAAAAAAATACAGTAACGGACATAAAGAAAAATAAGAAACAAAAATTATTTGGTCAACTAACGCTAATTTTCAGTATAGAGTTACCTCCCTTTATTGACTACTGTCTTTCATATTGTCATTACTTGCTCAAACATGTTTACTGGTATAGCCAGGATGGGAGGTTTCAATTAATATTAGTCTCCGCTCAGGAATTACCTCTTTTTGAGAAGTGGCTGTGGTTATTATCTGATGCTTGATGAGTCCCCGCTAAAGGGGAAATGCCAAGGCTTTGTATGGCTGTCCAAAATCCCACATTAAATTCTGTATGACGTGGATACAGATAAATCCATGCTAAGCTTAGTTTTCTCTGGTGCAAAGCCATGACAATGAGGATTGATCTTCTTACACACACACAAACCCTAACTTTTCAGCAAATGCCTTGGCCAATTCTTTAAAGTTTTTTGATGTTATATTAATATAAATGTTATAATGGTGATTTGATATTTAATATAAATGATATCTTACTGCTAGTTGTTAAAGCAGTATTGTCCATATGTTAACAATGTGCCATAATTTTGATGTTATGGATTTCTTTGTCAGATATTTTCAGCTGAATGGGTCACAACTTTATGAATACATAAATAGTTCTCTAGCTATCGGATTCCAAAAAATGATGGATTGAAACACAACCATGAATGTATCTCTTCAGGAGGTAGGCGATCATGGCTCTCCACAACATGTGCATCTCTAAGCAGTATTTGTTCCTTAATATTCTTCTCACTCTCCATTCTGTTATCCATTTACACAAGCTTCTTATGTTATTAACTGTTTCTTTCTGCCCACTTGCTGTCAATATGTCCTGTGAGTATTAAATTCACAAGCCCTCTTTCCTTATTTGCCCCAGAAATTTCAGTTGTCTCTTTCTGATTCTAAGTATAAATGCCTTTTTTGTTTCCATTTTCCTTAAAACTTCCTCCTTAGACACGATATGTCCAGAGTATTCTCAGCATCCTTCTGTAGAACCACATTTCTGTTGCTTCAACTCTCCTCTTCATCTTTGAGGAAATTGCCCAGCATTCACTGCCAAATAGGAGGACTGCTATTACATTGCTGTTCAACATTTTTTTTTCTTTGTTTCTAATGAAAAATATTCTGTTTCTTATTATTTTGTTTAGCTTTTGGAAGGCATCTTTCGCTGTTCAAATGTGCCTTTGAATTTGTCACATTTTCTTTCATATGTTAAAAACACATCTCAGGTAGTTAAATTTCTGTATTTGCTTCATTTTGACATCTCCAATTTGTACCTTGCCTCTTGGACTGTTCCTTTTGCTAATGACCATACATTCTGTCTTCTTACAATTAATAGTTAGTCCTTTCATCCTGCTTTCCTTTATTACCTTCTCTAGGAGTTTCTGCAGTTTATTTCTTTCTGTCTGCTATCAATACAGTTTCATCTGCATATCTCATGCATTTAAGATTGTGTCCAAATTATGTACAAAAGGAAACAAAAAAACACTAGAAATGTGCCAATATTTTATGATCCAAGAGATTGAAATGGTATTTTACTTAGGTCTACAAAAATGGATGCCAATTTGAAGTAATGGAAAAAATCCGTTTTGCAAAGAATGACTTAAAAAAAAGAAATCTTTCCTTTTCCAATTGCAATCTGAGAGAAATGATCAAAAACTTAATTTGCTTGTGCCAAACTTTTCTGCAAGTGTTACACAAGATTCTTTGATTCATTGTCATCTTTCGATTGCCATTATTGGAAGATAAACATCTAGAAATTGTAGAACATTTTGTATTACCTTTTCTCCCCTAATATGATTGATTCATTTTCTATGGCTTATCAACCATTTGCAGGTTATTTAAAGCCAGAAAACATTTTTAGCTTGTAAGAATTTTTCTTTTAATAATTATTTACTGTTACAAATCTTACTAATTAACCCATTGCTGTGTGAGAAGACATGGATTCGTACCTTTCCCAAGTGTATTTGCTCATAAGTGAATATAATGAACCCAATTGGAACTCAGATGTCTGATTAACAATTCTGCTTCATTATCAATTACACCAATTCACATCCAAGCTTACAGCACATGGTATTCCCAAGCAGTCACTCTTGTAGATACTGACCAGGCTTGATGTTGCTTAACTTCAGTGATCATATGGGAATCTGTGTTTCATCGTGATATGGTTGTAAACATTGTCCCATAATAATTATTATATTTGCATGTGTATTTCGTACACTAAGTGCTCCAACTAATATGGAATGGAGGTAATGTTTTATATTTCTACTTTTGTCCCATAATGTTTGTTACACTTAACAGGCACATTTCATACTCTAAATGTCTCAATTATTATAGGACAAATATATTAATATGGTCAGTGTTTGTTATCTTTAGTTTCAAAACAAATTAGATTTATCATTTGTTATCCTTGTTTGAAGATTGTGCATAATTGTTTTAAAAAACTGCTGATAGATATAAAGTTGTATTGGAAATTTATATATGCAGTGATTATACCATTCAATGAAAATGTGCATGTAGCTAACTTATGACTGAGTCATTTGGCCTCTGTATTCATGTGCTTTTATTATGCTGGGTTTTTGTAGTATTATTTTAGGACAGCTTTGTGATCTTTACAATGATAAGATTTTAGGGGAAGCTTGGCAAATCTGTTACCAAGAGCCTCAAAATGTTTCATCAAGATTTTAACAAATATTCTTTTGATCAAACACAGGTCTTTTAGTGGCACATTTGTTTCAAGGCAGGTCAAATGTCATTACAAGATGATGAACATTCTGGGTGACTGGAAAATTTGTGAACTCATCTATGAGCAGTGTTGAGAAACAATTCATCTAGTCTCTCACATATCTGGCGTCATCCATGATGATGTTAGTCTGAGAATTTCTCTTACAGCTTCAGATTACTCTTAGGTGTCCAATAGAATCGGGTGGTGGGTGGTAGACTTTTTTTTTTTTTTTTTTTTTTTTAAGAAAATTTTCTGACTTCTCTGAGTTTATTAATTCCACACATTTCCCCCTGAAGCTCAAAGCAGGAAACAATAATTATTATTAATTAAGGGCTATTATTTGAAGCCCAAACTACAAAAATATATCGACATTGAAATCTGTCCAGGACAGATTCCTCAGCTTGGCTACCTTCCTTTCAGCCAAGATGGTAGTTCACTAATCTGTGTGACATATACAAAATACTGTACGGCTGTTATAGAAATGGAAGGGAATAATTTCTTCAACTTCTCAAACAGGAAGATGTGTGGTCATTCACACATCTTGATGAATCTGCAATCAGAGATGGCTGCAAGATCCAACATCTTTGCTCTGAGGGCGATAGGTTGACCTCTTTACCTACTGATGTTGTGAACGCATCAACATTGGCTATTTTCAAGTAGAAACTGCAGATCTTGCTCAAATGAGCTGAAGGACTATTAACTAATTCTAAAAAAGAAGAAAATTGTTACTGAAGAAAGAGGACAATAATAGAACAGGATCCAAGGAGACAAGTTGATGATTGATATTGTATTTAAATTGTTGAAGGTCATAGTTCAGAAGGTAGTTACACAAGTGAGAAGTGTGATAGAAAAAACTATTAGCATAGTACTTATGGTTACATTTAGCAATTTCAGCAGAAAAATGATGAGACCTAACTGCCAATCTAGTACTGTGCTTAAATTCATAAAGTCTAGGTATCAAATAGGAAAGCTCATCAGAACAATTTCTATGAAAATATTTATAGGAAAGGCACAGGAAAGCTTACTCCAACAAAGATAAAAACCTTTTACACTTCATTTATTCACCCAGTACTCAAATATGGAACTGGTAACTGGAGTCCAAACTACAAGAAAAGATTCTTGGAATCAACCCAGGACAGATGCCTTGTCCCAGTTACTAACTCTTCATTGCAAGATGCCAGTTCACCAATCTGCGTGATGTATACAAAATAATGTATGGCTATTATAAAAATAGAAGAGAACAATTTATTCACTTCAAACAGGAGCATGTGTGGTCACTCACATATCTTGATGAAACAGCAATTGAAGATAACTGCAAGGTCAAAATTCTTTGACCTGAGGGAGATAGACAATTGGAATTCTTTACCTAATGATATTGGGAATGTATCAATGTTGACTAATTCTGCTCAAATGAGTTGAGGGACTATCAATTAATTCTAAATCAAGTTCAAGTTTTTACTTTTTTGCTTTTATTGCATATTGAAAAAATATATGATTCCCGCCTCAAGTTATCATTACCACACCACTGTATTTTGCACCTGAGAGTAGATTGCCAAGAAATAAATTTCAATTTGAGAAAAAGAAAAGTAAAAAGCAGTTTTAAAAAAAGCACAATTAAAAGATTGTTCTTATTTTATTTCATTTGTGTTCAACTTTTCTATAAACTCATCTTGTCTTGTGCAAAGGATCATTCTTAACAGAATTCCTTTATGTATTGTTATCCAAAAACTGATTTCTGACAATGACCTTTCTCATTTTCAGGGTTTTCATTGCAGTATCAAAATTTTTTAAACCAATGTCAGTCGATAGTGAATGTTTGTTTGGCTCTTTTTTTTTTTTCTTTTTTTTCTGCAATTTTTAGTCTTTTTTCATCCAATTTAAAAAAAAAATTTTTTTTTTAATCATTTCACCCCAAACAAGGTAATAAAGTTACTAAAATGCATGGTTTTACAGGGTGTGAAAGAATATGAGAAAAAGAAAACATTATTACAGAGAGAGAAAAATAAAAGAATAGGAATTAAGAAGACAGAAGATAACAATTGACATTGCATTTAAATTTTTAGAGATCAAATTTGACTGGAAAGCAAGAAGCTGAAAGGGAGTTTTACAAGTGAGAAATAGAACATGGTTACATATAGATACCATTTCAAGTGTAAAATGATGAGACTTCACTGCCAATTTACTACTGTGCTTAAATTCCTAGAGTCTAGGTACCAAAGAAAAAAAGCTCAGAACGATTATCATGAAAATATTTATAGAAAAGGCACATGGAATTTACATTATGGCAGTGAGAAAGTGACTGAAGCTGAGATGCCAGGACAGGGCCTATAACATTGCTGATTCTTCTTTGTATTTTATCAAGAATTTCTAAATATATAGAAAAAGTACAAGACCAGATGTAACAGCAATCAAAGAAAATTAAACTTTTTGGAAACTTGGAAACAGTTACTTTGAAAAGAATTCCAAAATGGCTTCTTGTATCATCTTTCAAATACCATCAACTACATTCAGCTTCTAAGTATCAAATGACATTTCTGGACAAGCTAATAAATAGCTTCACTGGTAAAAGATTGAACTATAAGTTTTTAGTTTCTACACAGTTTATTAAATAGCTATAAAATGCTCACATAATTAGTCATTGATACTTGATTGAGTCATCATTAATTTCCATTTTTTATAAACTTTATTCTTAAAAAAAAAAGCAAAGTACAATTACATTTTATTCAGTTATATATTCACCATTATGACATGTTGCCACTTACCAAGCAGCTCTTCAATACACTGAGTGAAATTTTCCAAGTTCTGATGTAAAAAGGTTTTTAACAAATTCTTGAATCTGGTTTTCATTAGAGGAACTTTACCCCATCAAAGTGTTTTACAGTAATCGAAAAGGTAATAATTGATTGATGCAATGACAGGGGAGGTGGAATAGGCCAACCAAGTTCTAAAATTTTTTCCTCTGTTATTTTTGCTCAATGCAGTCTTGTCATAGAGAAAAACAACATTTTTCCTTTCATCCACTGTGTACGCTGCCATTGCTGTACTCAAAACAAATTTATTTTTAACTGCCACGAATGATTTGTAGTTAGGATGACACATTTGCCATTACAGTTGGTTCCTTAAAATGGGAATTACTCAATATGACTCAATCTAATATTTAAAAATGAAACATTCATATAAATTGTCTTTCACTCTCATCTAATTGGCTATTTCACCATTCCATACATCAGAGTTGTTTCAACTTGAAGGCACACTGCAAATCAATGTGATTTCTTATATTCAGCAAGTGGAATGTGTATGATCCATCACTAAAGATACTAAAAATTGATCAGTTCCTTGTATTGCTCCAGTAAATATCTGATTCCTTCTGCTATGCTCTATCTTTAAAAAGAGTCAGATCAGACTGAAAACGGGAATATTGCTGCCATATCTGAGCCAAAGATACTCAGTTTTCAATTTCCAATTTTGATAGAGTGCAAAAGCATCTACATGGCCTTGTGGGTGATGAATTATTTTCCACACTACAACCCCTTTCTTCACAAACAAAATGTTGCAAGCCTTTCACTACTCTATTATTTTCATTGAAAATGTTCTGACAAACTACATTGCTTATTTCCACCAGTTCTAACCTTTACAGATATGACCCACAATGCCATATATGCTAGGATGAACCCTCCCCGATTCTATTTATAAGAAGGAAATCTCACTTGGACAGATTCTTCCCACAAAGTGCTGCTTTGTGGAACAGACACCAAAAAAGATGCTTTCCCAACTGCTACTCTTAACCTCTTCAAGCCTAGAGTTAAATGTTATTTTTCCCACATATCCTCAAACTGTACTTCTTACCTCTTATTGTCAATTCCCTGTACAGCTTGATCCTCCTGCTATGCTCTACCTTTAAAAGAGTCAAGTCAAACCGAAAATGAAATACTGCTGCCATATCTGAGCTGAAGCAACCAAGTTTTCACTTTCCACTCTTGATAGAGTTCAAAAGCATCTACACGGCCTTGAGGGTGATGGATTATTTTCTACCCTACAACCCCTTTCCCCACAAACAAAATGTTGCAGCCCTATTGGTATTCTATTGCTATTTCTAGGGAAAATGTTCTGACATGATTCATTCTTTAGTTTCACTAGCTTTAACCCTCACAGCTAAAACCCACCCAAGCCATGTACACTGAGGTGTACTACCCTCAAGTCCTTCATATTACATTAGTAAGAAGGAAACTTCAGCTTCTTTCCATGAACTGCTACTTTGTGAAACTAACTCCCAAGAGGATGATTTCCCCGGCCACTACACTCTTAACATCTTCAAATCTAGAGTTAACTGTTATCTTACCCACATATCCTCATAATCTGTACTTCTTATCCTTTACCGCTCATACAACTACTTCCTTCAGTAACTCTCTACCTTGAGTGGCTCTTGGGCCTTGTATGGCGGGTGGGGGGTGAGCAGAAATAACAAATTGGGTTTGAATTCAGAGTTGTCTTCCTCCTATACTGGTTGCCAACCACGACTAGAGATTCCAGTTTTCCCTACTGTTTAACTCATAGCTGAGGGGAGAATAGATGGATTTCTCAAGGATTTTTGTGTGAAAGTGAATGTAATGAATCTGGTTTGCTGATTTCTCATTCTAAACTTTTGACCATTACACCACCTGCACATTCAAACATATACATCATTTTTTTTTTTTTAATTAATCAGATTAATAGCTCTTGGGTTAATGTTGCTTTTTTAAGTTTTTAATGACTCTTTCTGTAACAATACAAGACCAAAGAGGAAGAAATTATAGATAAGAAGTTTTTGTTGTACTCATCTTGAAAATCAGCATTTAACATTCTATTTTTTTTTTTTTTTTTTTTTTTTTTTTTACTTGAGCTCAAACATTATTGGTGAGAAATAGTCTCTCAACCACTAAGCAGTATTTTTTTTCTTTTTAACAATGTCAACTCTGAAACATGACCATAGGATTGAGACACCCATAAGGGATTGAACGCACATGAGCACATTTTAATGTGGGAAAGAAATTTGCTTGTTATCAGGTCATTGTAGGCACCTGTCCTCAAGTCTAAACTTTTAGACTTAACATTTAATTCAGGTTTTTCCAGTTGACTTTTTTACTTTTGTCTCTTTTCCTCCTCTCTTTTTTCCTTTCTTATTACTCTCAGCACCTCCCACACTTTACTCTCCTTCTCTTTCTTATTCCACTGAGGACTCTTATTCTTCTCAGCATCTCACACTTTTTACTCTTTTTCTCTTTCCTATTTGCCACAGCATCCCCCCACTTTTCTCTCTACCTCATCTCCTTTATTTCTCCTATAAAAGATACAAAGATTTACATTTTTGCTTTTCTCTCTTTTACTCAGTACTTTTCCTTCTTTTTTCTTTTTTTTTCTTCCTCTCCTTTCTTGTTTCCTTTTAGCATTCAGTCTTTTTCTTTCATCCTTTCTTTCCTCCTATCATTCTTACTTTTTTTTTACTTTTTATCCTGGCTATTTTTCATTCTCTTTTTCTTTTTCCCTCCCCTTTTCCCACTCTATCACTTAAACTCTTTTTTTTCAATTTTCATCCTACTCTCTTTATCTACTTATAAGCTTCACTTCCACTAATGAACAATGGCAGCAAATGGAACCCACCTTTACACCATCATCTAATTCTTGGGCTAAATCTAAAAATTACTGTTTAATATGTTTTCTTACACATTCTAATCCTTATTAATAAGCTTCTGAACCAACTGTCTGTATTATTTTCTCTTCTCTTTATTCTCTTCAGCCAGTCACGTAATCTGCATAATGAATGATTTTAGCATCAGAGCCTGAAGGCTTTTTTTTTTTTTTCAGAGAAATTACAGGTTAAAACAATTTGATTAAATTATTAATATTTGTATGTATTTTCATTGTTTTAATTGGAAACCAATAAAGAATTTGATTTGTTTTGATAACATTGACTTTGCTTTCTTTCATTTTACATTGACTATGCTTTCTTGAAACTCTATTCAGTTATTGTTGTAACCTAGGGAAGGTTACTGAATAGAATAATCAAAGAAAGGTTGGAAATGAATGATAATATTTAGGACATAAACAACACATATAAGATTCACCAGTGACACGTAGAAGTAGTCAACTGTCAAGTAAATTCCACTATGAATCTCCAACTGCAGACCAACATACAGTATTTACTACTGTATTTATGTGAATAGGAACATACCCATTATCGTCCATAGGTATGCTACAACAGTTATCTTCATTTACTTTTTATTAGAGCATTATCAATGATTATCAATTTTTGACAAGTATTTAAAATAATATTGTGATTTTATCAGAAGAAAAAGGTTAGTGAATCTGAAAAAAAAAACCCCAAAACAAACAATTTCTCATCTACAAAAAAAATTTGAATGTGGAAATAAAAAACAAGGAATGTAGTTCATATTTCTACCAACACCATTGTCACAAAACTCATAATCTGAGCTGTTTCGACATAAAGGCACACTGCCAATCAGTGTGATATCTAATCTTCAGCATGGTTGCTTGCTTCTGAGCATGTCCATCTGCTCAGGCCCATTTGGTTTTGTTCAACACCCACAGAGCTAACATGTGATTTATACTGCAGCTATACTGAGCAGACCTTAATTAGAGTTCAAGTATGTGCCACACCAGATCCACATATGGTTTCGAGTTCAGAGTTGTCCTCTTCCTATACTGGTTGCCAACCAAGGCTAGAGAGTCTAGTTTTCTCTCTTATTTAACTCATAGCTGAAGGCAGAATAAATGGATTCATACCTTTCCCTTTATTTATTTGAAAGTGAATTTAATGATCTTGACTGGAATTTCAACTTGGTTTGCCGATTTCTCGTTCCAAACTTTGACACCACCTGTACATCCATTTTCATAAAAAACTTAATGAAAATCATTTTATACATAGATATGATACAGGAGAAGTAATTGTATAATTTTTACTTTTCCATCTATTTCAGACTATTATCTTAATGCATGAAATATCACAAAATGTGTATCTACTCACAAAATATATTTAATTATTCCTTGGACTTCATTCATAGGTTCTGGTGATATTCTGTGGATAAATACAATATGAGAGAAATATGCATGAATATATAATTTCTGCTCAACTTCATTGTGAAACCAAGAGGAAATATATGACCAAACTGCATTTTTATCTATCATTTCCACATTGTGATGGAAAACCAACATAATCTGTTGTGAGATACCACTGGGATGATTTAGGTTAGTGGTAATGATGCTCCATAACATTACCTCAGTCATCATTTGATAAAAACTTTGTGGCAAACATGCACATTTTTTACCCAAAAGTTAATGAATTCAAACACTATTTGCAATCCAAATGTATCAATTTTTGCTGCTATCCATTATGAAGTGATGTATTTCAAATTGTTGCTGACTTTGAAACATAAAGCTTAATAAATGTTCATAATCCCAGAAAGGAAACTTGGGGAAAATAGAAACGGCCTACCTCACAAACGTTCTCGCATCTGCCTGGCCTGTGGGTTGAGAAAGGAAAGAAAAGATTCAAAATGGCGTCCGTGACTTTTAATATTCACGGTCTCGTGAAGTTTAAACAAAGTTCAAATTTACACACATGCTAATGAGGTGTGTCTGGGCTCCATAAAAGCAGGTTGCTTGGAGACATTGGCAGACCAACATTTCACCTGTGCTTGGTGTACATCGTTTTGCGTTGCAGCGTGTCAGACATTTTCAGACGGAAAGAGTTGCGTCCCTTACACTGTTTAAGTCGACTCATTTGCTACAAAACATTAATTCAATGATAGATTTGAATTAACTGACCTGATGACAATGTCTAGATGGCAGGCTACATAATCAGGTCTGAACTAATTAGCATTCTTCATTCTTTTTTTAAATTGCTAACTTGTGTCAACAAAAGCATCTTGTCTACAGTGTTATTTCGCTTATATATATATATATATATAGTTTATGCAAATTTAGGTAATCCGTATGGGTAGACCTGAGGAGGATGATATCCAGAGAGCTCAATGTAAAAATTCAGAGCAGATATGTTTGAATAAAAGACAGACCACGTTAAGATTCCATGTAATAAGCTATTTCACCATAACCCCTTTAACAGGGTTCTGGATCATCAGACTTTACTTCCAAAAGCTGAAATGAAAAAAATGAAAAAAGAAATTCACACGTTTTTTTTACGGACCTCATCAAGTATACGCAAAGTTAACGAAGTGAGGAAGTGAGGGGGAGAGAGGATATGAGTGTGTCATATGTATCATTTTAGTTTCCTATTTTAACCCCAGTGTGTCGGCTGGATGTTGCTCAAATCTAACGCGTCTCGTCTCTAGAAAAGGTGGTTAAGGGGTGAGCGATAAGGACTACATTAAGGAAGACGTTACAACAACCCCAACAAAATATATATATATATATATATATATATATATATATATATAATGGATTCTCTTGTCATCTTCGACATATGAGTGTCCAGCAGTTCAGCTCTTACAAATGAACAGCCAGAATACTCTGCATATATGATTTGATTATAATGATGAAGATCTTTGCAGAACTATTCAAACTTTTTAGAACTGAATACCATATCCCCAAACAGTATTCCTCAGGTTTTTAATTCAGAGATTTCTTTCTCTTAGAGTGATTGCCAGCCAAGGCTAAAGTGTTCTCTCTGCCTTACTATTTAACCCATAGCTAGGAGGAGAAGAGAGGGATTCATACCTTAAGTGTATTTGTGCAAAAGTGAATGTAGCAAACTTGACTGGAATTCAAATTTGCCTGACTGATTTCTTGTTTGCAACCACTCACCATCACACCACCTACACATATATATATATTTCGATAAACGTGCAATCAATTTACAAATTCATGAATTATTCACACAAAAACAAATGCAAAAGGTTAATGATTTAATTGGCGAGAAATCCATTTTCAAGTAAACAATTCAAATAATATACAAAAACCTCGAACCGTTATGAATGAAAAAGATCCTTGTTTCTATAAAATTCTGCCACATGTGTTCTTATTTTTTTGACAAGCTTTCGTCTGTTCCACAGACATCTTGGATACAACAATACATATATTTTGTTGTCCTCTTATTACTGAGAGAAAAACAAGAACAACATCTATTCCATACCTGAAGATGTCTGTAGGAACAGAAAAAAGCTTGTAAGAAAAAAATAAGAACTAATGCAGCAGAAATTTATAGAAACAAGGATCTTTTCATTCATAACGGTTCGGAGGTTTTGTATATTATTTGAATTGTTAAGATTCGTATGGAAAAATGCAGCCAATTAAATCATTAACCTTTGCATTTGTTTTTGTGTGAATAATTCTATGAATATATATATATATATATATATATGGGCAGCATATTTTTCAGTGAAGGAAGTTTTATCAAAGAGCAATAAAATTTCTTTGTTCAAGATTTTTTTTATTGTGCATAGTTATTATTCTCTCCATGATATTCATGCAACTGTAACTAATTTTAATTGTATTTTTGTTGATAATTTTTGAGAATTTGCTGTTTTTGGGAAGTGTTTGTCAGTTATTTGGAAGAATATTTTCCATATTTTTATTGTATTGTTGTAGTGGGGGTTGAACCAAATTATATTTCTTTTTCTTCTGTTGTTTTTTTTTTTTTAATTGTTTTCATTTTTGTATTCTAATTTGTTTATTATGGCTGATTCATATGTTTTTTTTATTTTCATTGAATATTTTTAGGCTACTAGAAATTGTTAAAATTCTTTTATTTATAGATATGGATATTTGTTTGAATACATTAGTGGCGGTGGTTAGAATTGTTGTAAATGTATATTGGGTTGTTTGGTTTTCTGTATGGTTTGTAGGTTCCGTTGTTTGGGTTGAATGTTACATCTGAGCAATTTACTATTTTTTTAGTTGGATTTTAAATTTATTGTAAATCCTAGAATCCAAGTAGAACTCAATGTCCAGGACAGAGTAAGTATATAATATATAAAAGCCTTAAACACTAATATTTCATGGTTATAATTTATTACAGTGGAATCATAATCATGATCCAATTCATCAGACTTACAAATTCAAAATTCATATATATATATATAATTTTTTAAGGTATGCTATATTTATGGGTAAAAGTGTTCAGTATCTGGGATAGATCATGTATAAATATGGACACTGAGGTCAAGACAGAGTGGCGACAGTCTGTTTCATGCTTGAATGCAATCTTCAGGCCATGTGAGTTGACGATGCTAGTCATTGAGGAATTATGGGTAGCAAGGTCAGTTATTTCCAGTTTATTTTATTATTCTAATCTCTATTGAATAGATGGAAATGGTTGTTTTAGATAAATTTAAAGAAACAATTTTCTTCTTATCATTTTTTTTACTTTAAGTAGGCCTGGAAAAACCCAACATAATATGGATTCAGATAGAGCATGATGGTAATTTATCTCCTATTTATTCCAAGATGGTGGATGCCTTTCTATTAATACTCACCACATCCTTTTCATTGCATTGAAAACAACATCACTTTATAGATCAAAAGGTCTTAGTGGAATGACTGCTGAAAATCTCCCCCCACTCACCAAAAAATTAAAAAAAAATTATGAACAAATCCTT